ATCATCAAAATACCGAATATCGCGGGGTACCGTTATATGGGAGCTATACGTTATCGTTAACCTATATAGAGAATTCTCTGTCGGTGGGTAAAGTGCTCACATAGAACCCCTTGTGTACAGAGAACCCCTTGTGGCCATTCCGTTGAAAAATATGGCTAAAAACATCAAAATACCGAATATCGGGGGTACCGTTATATGAGGGCTATACAATATCGTGGATCTATATAGATAATTCTCTGCCGAGGTATAAAGTACCCACAAGGAACTCTTTGTGTGGATTTTCAGACAATTCCGTTGAAAAATGTGGGTAAAATCATCAAAATACCGAATATCGGAGGTTACAGTTATATGGGGGATATACGATATCGTGGACCTATATAGACACTTCATTTTGAGGCGGTAAAATGCCCACAAGGGACTCCTTTTGTGGATTTTCAGACAATTCCGTTGACAAATGTGGGTAAAATCATCAAAATACCAAATATCGGGGGTACCGTTATATGGGGGCTATACGATATTGTCGAAATATATAGATAATTCTCTGCCGAGGTATAAAGTGTCCACAAGGAACTCCTTGTGTGGATTTTCAGACAATTCCGTTGAAAATGTGGGTAAAATCATCAAAATACCGAATATCGGGGGGTACCGTTATATGGGGGCTATACGATATTGTGGACCTATATAGATAATTCTCTGCCGAGGTATAAAGTACCCACAAGGAACTCTTTGTGTGGATTTTCAGACAATTCCGTTGAAAAATGTGGGTAAAATCATCAAAATACCGAATATCGGGGGGTACCGTTATATGGGGGCTATACGATATTGTGGACTTATATAGATAATTCTCCGCCGAGGTATAAAGTACCCACAAGGAACTCCTTGTGTGGATTTTCAGACAATTCCGTTGAAAAATGTGGGTAAAATCATCAAAATACCGAATATCGGGGGGTACCGTTACATGGGGGCTATACGATATCGTGGACCTATATGGACAATTCTCTGCCGAGGTATAAAGTACCCACAAGGAACTCCTTGTGTGGATTTTCAGACAATTCCGTTGAAAAATGTGGGTAAAATCATCAAAATACCGAATATCGGGGGGTACCGTTACATGGGGGCTATACGATATTGTGGACCTATATAGATAATTCTCTTCCGAGGTATAAAGTACCCACAAGGAACTCCTTTTGTGGATTTTCAGACAATGCCGTTGAAAAATGTGGGTAAAATCATCAAAATACCGAATATCGGGGGGTACCGTTACATGGGGGCTATACGATATCGTGGACCGATATAGCCCATCTTCGAACTTGACCTGCCTGCAGACAAAAGAGAGATCTGTGCAAAATTTATGCTTCCTATCTTAATTCGTTTAGACTGTAGCGTGATTACAACAGACGGACAGACGGACAGACGGACAGACGGACGGACAGGGCTAAATCGTCTTAGAATTTTACGCTGATCAAGAATATATATACTTTGTTGGGTCTAAAATGATTATTTCGATGAGTTACAAACGGAATGACAAAGTTAATAGACCCTCCATACCTTTTTTGGTGGATGGTATAAAAAAGCTGTAAGTTCGGCCGTCCCAAACTTTGAATACCCTCCATCATTTGGAACGAATTTCGCAATTCTCAAAAACAATAAAATCCGTTAAAAATTCTGTTAAAATCTTAAAAATATCAAATGTTGCAGTCATATTAGGGTCTAAACGACGACATGGACATGCGTAGGTAATTTTTGTCAAAAGCTATTAAAATATTCAAATTCGAAACTTGAAAAAAATCGATGAATAATGTAGCTAAAATCATCAATATAGGGAGGTACTATTATATATATGGGGGCTATACCAAAATATGGAGCCGCACAGACAATTTTCTGTCATAGGCTGTAATATCCATTACGAATCTCAAATACCACATTTGAAACAATTCCGGTGAAATAAGTCGCTAAGATCATCAAAATACCGAATATCGGGAGGTACCGTTATATGGGGGCTATACGAAGACTTGGACCTGCACAGACAATTTTCTGTCTTAGGCTGTATTATCCATTTCGAACTTCAAATACCAAATTTGAAACAATTTCGGTGAATAATGTCGCTAAAATCATTATAATACCGAATATCGGGAGGTACCGTTATATGGGGGCTATATGAAAACGTGGACCTACATGGTCCACTGGAAAAATAAACATGTGTGCAAAATTTTAGCCGTCTATCTGAATTCGTTCGAAAGATAGCGTGATTACAACAGACAGGCAGACGGACATGACTAAATCAACTTAGAATTTTACGCTGATCAAGAATATATATACTTTGTTGAGTATTTCGAGGAGTTACAAACGGAATGACAAAGTTAATATACCCTCCATAGTATGGTGGAGGGTATAAAAATCTGTAAGTTCGGCCGGGCTGAACTTTGAATACCCTCCAACATTCGGAACGAATTTGACAATTTTCAAAAAAATTAAATCCGTTAAAAATTTTCTTAAAAACTTAAAAATACCGAATGTAGGTCTATACGAAGAGGTGGACCTGCATAGGTAAGTTTTGTCATAAGCCATTACAATATTCAAATGCGAAACTTGTAAAAATCGGTGAATACTGTAGCGAAAATCATCAAAATACCGAATACCGGGAGATACCATTATATGAGGGCTATACGAAGACGTAGACCTGCGCAGACTATTTTCTGTCTTAGGCTGTAGTACCAATTAGGAACACACGAAATTTGAAGTAATGAAGTAATGTTGTAGTGCCCATTAAGATCTTCCACTACGAAATTTGAAACGATTCTGGTGAATAATGTTGCTGGAATCATAAAAATATGGAATATCGGGAGGTACCGTTACATGGGGGATATACGAAGACGTGGGCCTGCATACAAAAAAATTTGTCTTAGGCTGTAGTTCCCACTACGAACTTTAAATACGAAACGATTCAGGTGAATAATTGTGCTGAAATCGTCAAAATACCGACTATCGGATGGTACCATTATATGGGATCAATAAAAAGTCTATCGGGAGGAACAATTATATGGGGGGCTATACGAAAACGTTGAACGACATGACTAATTTGCGCATGTGTGCAAAATTGTAGCCTTCTATCTCAATTCGTTCGAAAGATAGCGTGACTAAAACAGACAGACAGACGGACATCGCTAAATCGACTTAGAATTTTACGCTGATCCAAAATATATATACTTCCTGCATAGAATGACGGAGGGTATATAAATAAGGAAAATGCCATTTATAATCTCAGCCATATGGCTACAGAGGTTATATACCATTCGCTACGGTCAAAACGTGCGTCATTGAAAAAAAGTCATGGGTCTCTTTATGGTGGTAAAGCATTATGATGAGAATTTTCCAGAAAAAAGTTATTCGTGATGGAATTCAAGCGTGATTTTGTGATTTCTTTGTATTTGGCTTGAAAACCTCATGTGGCTACCGTTAGAGCACTCCAGCATTTAAATGTGAATAAATATTTTGTGTCTTGTACCATCGCTCGTTACCGTGATACTGGTAGCGTAGCCCAACGTCAAGGAAGTGAACGGAAGAAAACAGCAACATCAGCAGAAATGGTTCGAAAATTAAAAAAGAGCTCGATCGAAACCCGCGTCGCGGTGGCTCGTGTGCTCAAAAATGGCTCGTGAGCTGAACATATCGCAATATTATATTCGGCAAATATTAATAAAATGAAGCCATTGAAATTCCAAAAAGTGCCAGAACTAACACCGCAACAGAAAAATAATAGACTCAAAAGAGCTAAAGGGTTGCTTCGCTTGGCCGAAAGCGGTGAACTGCCGAATATGATTTTCCCCGATGAGAAACGATTCGTTGTCCAGTAGTTTGTAAAAAAAACAAAATGATCGTGATTACTTGCCAAAGATATTTTTACTTGCCAAAGAGGTCAGCTGAAAACATGCACCTTTGGTTGGCCTCCAGAACTCAAGCGCCGGCCATGGTAAAAATGTGGGCCGCCATAACAGCCGATGGTCGCTCTCCGCTCGTATTAATCGACCATGTCATCAGAATTATTATCGCGAAATATTATCGCGAAAATATTCTGGAGGGTGTATTAAAGCCTTGGGCACGCCAACATGTTAGCCGCAGACCTTGGACATTCCAACAGAACTCAGCACCATCGCACTCAGCACACGCCACCCAAGAATTGTTACAAAGTGGTGTTCCTTGCTTCATTTCCAGCGCAATGGCCACCAAAATCTCCGGATACTAATCTGTTGGACTATTGTGTCTGGAGTATTTTGGAAAGTAAGGTTGGCACTAAAAAGTACCAGTGTCCAAAATACAGCAGAGCATCATTCGAACAGCGTGTGACGGTTTCATTGGCCGTTTGAAGGCCACAATTCGTGCCAAAGGTGGCCAATTCGAACAAATCTAAACTTATGCTAAAATTCGATGCTATTTTCGAAATGTTTTGCTTGGGGAAATTCTCCCTTTATTTCGGTTACTTTGCGATGTAAACTTACAAAACTCCCATACGTGGTTCTTATATTTTTAGCTCTACTTTCGTAATCTGCTTTATTTTTCTTGTAATTATACTTTTGTGAAATTTATTTTCTATGGATAGTATGAAGGCAAATTTAATGAAGTCAAGCAGGAGGCGAATTCAAAGCTAGTCTTATCTAACTGCCAGAAGCTTTTTGCAGGAAACATTTGTTACATGTACTTTTAAAATATTCTTATAGAAAACGGGCTTGGCATCAGGTAGTGGTAGTGTTAACGAACTGTGTTACCTCCTTATTGCGCCATGATTAAAGCAATGTATTTTTTACAGGAGGAGGAGATAGGCCTACTATGTCGCCTTGTAAATACAAATTAGATGATATTCTAAAACATGTACAATAAATTACAATTTTGGCGCGAATGAAGGAACTACTACGATTCTATGCAACTCAAAAACTAACCACCCTTGTGCTTACAATAAAACAGGTGTCATAATGAAGGGTGGTAGTGGTTATGGTTGCCATAACAACTCAAAATTGTCAGACATTAATTTTCATTCGGGAATACGAAACTATTAGCATTAAAACTGAGCAAAACATTAGCATGAGAAAGTAAAAAAAAGTCAATCACGACCGAATACAATGCAATTAAAATATTTGAAAACCATATTGGATGGCCAGGTAAGTACGTTGCAGAATAGTGAAAATGCAACACTTTTCATATTATATTTCCTTTGCACTGACGACAGGACCACATAAATCGCATTGCTGGTCTTGCCTGGTCACCGAATCACAAAAAATTAGCTGTGGCCACTGCCGATCGCCATATTCTGCTGTTTGACGATGCGGGTGAGCGGCGTGATAAGTTCTCGACCAAACCCTCAAATCCCGCAAATGGCAAACAATCCTATGTCGTACGCGGTCTAGCCTTTAGCCCGGATTCAACCAAATTGGCAGTGGGTCAAAGTGATAATATTGTGTATGTCTACAAGCTCGGCGAATCGTGGAATGACAAGAAAGTTATTTGTAACAAATTCCCTCAGACGGCAGCGGTTACAGCCTTGATATGGCTATCGACGGGAGCGATAATTGCAGGTAAGTTCATACTATTGAGTTTACTATTACTCATGGGATCTGTTGGTATTAAAAAAATCCCTTATAAAGTATCAATTTGTTGCTTTTAACTCAAGACTGGTATACGATAGCATGTTCCGCTCGAATAGGGAAGTACTAAAACTAAATGCGTCACCTTGCAAATTAAATGTGTTAAATCCACAAATTGAAAAAAACCCACCCCCTGAAAATTGGAGATGGCCTTACATTGGTGTTGTTGTACCAATACATGTTTATACTGAACATTTTTAGGAGAGAGTTTTCTTCTCGATTCGAAATCCATCAACTCTTTTGGTGTGTAACATTCTTCGTGAATTTTACACGATTTTGAATTGGAATTTAAGACGAGAAAATTGATTCGGCCAATAATATTTGTAATTATCAACCGTCTGTTCGTCCGTCTTTCCATTTTTGTGAACAAAATGTAGGTCGCATTCATTATCCGAGTGATATGAACTTTACCACTAATAATTTGCTTGGCCCAAGGACGAACCCTGTTGAAATTGCTGAGAATCGGTAGATATAACTCCCACATATATCTTCAACCGTTTTCGGATTAATTGTGCACCAAATGACCAATATCACTAAAAGTTACCTGCATTTTGGCACATCCAAACGAATTCAGTCTTGAAGCCTATACATTAAATTTAGTGAAAATCGGTTCAGATATAGATATATCTCCATTATACATATCTGTTTCATCCAATTTAGTATTTAAGTCCCTCACATTCGTAATATGCACCCCTCACAAGAATGATATGGTATTAGTACCAGACATCAGATACAGCTCAGAAATAGGTGCCTAAAAATTCGTCAAGATCGGTTCCGAATTGGATATAGCTCCCATATATATCTTTATCGGATTTCAGTTTAATTGTGAGCCAAATGGCCAATATTAGCCCAAATGGACTGAATTTTGGCATTTTCGACGGAATTCAACCCAGAAGCACGTACTTTAAATGTTGGTGAAAATCGGTTCAGATATAGCTAAAGCTCCAAAGCTATACAAGGTGAGATGAAAAAACAGCAACGAACTTCAGACTGCTGTCATTTCCAAGCCACTCGTCCGACAGCTGTTAACATTTTTTCCAGTGACAGCTCATTATATTTTTTACAAGCGTGCAAAAGCATTTTGGTGAGAATTTTCCATAAAAACGTATTCTTGATGGAATTCAAGCGTGATAGTGTGATTTCTTTATATTTGGCTGGAAAAAACAAGTGGCTATCGTTAGATCACTCCTGCATTTAAATGTGAATAAATATTTTGTGTCTCGTACCATCGCTCGTTACCGTGATACTGGTAGCGTAGCCCAACGTCAAGAAAGTGGACGGAAGAAAACAACAACATCAGCAGGAATGGTTCGAAAAGTAAAGAGGCGACTTGATCGAAACTTGGGTCGCATTGGCCGAAAAATGGCTCGTGAGCTGAACATATCTGAATATTTCATTCAGCAAATATTAAAAAATGAGCTTGGGGTAAATCCATAGAAATTCCAAAATGTGCAAGAACTTACACCGCAAGAGAAATAAAATAGACTCAAAAGAGCTAAAGAGTTGCTTCGCTTAGTCGAAAATGGTGAACTGCGGAATTTCGTTTTCTCCGATGAGAAAACATTCATTGTCCAGCAATTTGTAAACAAACAAAATGATCGTGTTTATTTGCCAAAGAGGTCAGCTGAAAATGTGCACCTTCGGTTCGCCACCAGAACTCAAGCGCCGGCTGTGGTGATGGTGTGTGCTGCCATAACAGCCGATGGTCACTCTCCGCTCGTATTAATCGACCGTGGCATCAGAATTAATGCCGAATATTATCGCAAAAATATTCTGGAGGGTGTATTAACGCCTTGGGCACGCTAACATTTTGGCCCCAGACCTTGGACATTCTAACAGGACTCAGCACCATCGCACTCAGCAAGCGCACCCAACAACTGTTACAAAATGAGGTTCCTCGCTTCATTTCCAGAGCACAATGGCCACCAAAATCTCCGGATACCAATCCGTTGGACTATTGTGTCTGGAGTATTTTGGAAAGCAAGGTTGGCACTAAAAAATACCAAAGTGTCGATCACCTCAAGCAAGCGCTGCGCCGGGAATGGGCCAAAATTCAGCAGAGCAACTTTCGGGCAGCGTGTTACGGTTTCATTGGCCGTTTGAAGGTCATAATTCGTGCCAAAAGTGACCAATTCGAACAAATCGCAACTTATTCTAAAACTTGATACTATTTCCCACATTTTTTGCTTTCATTCAATAAAATTTAAAAAAAATGTAAAAATTATGGCTTTTGATTTTCTCTCACCCTGTATAATGAAATAGAATTGTATAATATTTTTCATTTCGTAAACAACAATGTATCAAACTACATGTAGACATTTCCTGTCATTGTATTTATCACTTCATTAGTCTCTGTCCGCAAACACCCAAAACTGAGCAAAGCGTATTTAATAAACATTTGCACACATTTGTTGCATCTCCAAGTGTCGGTTATGGTGCTAGCATTCAAACATTTTGCCTAATGAAATTTTATCATGTGTATATGACTTCAATTATTCCAATTAATTAAATAATTAAATAGTCAACATGTCTGAGAAGCAATGCAAGAACTTCATACCGCAAATACACTTGTGCGAGTTGCCTTATAGTATGGCAAAATATTATCGCAAGGATAATTGTCCATGTTTTAGTTTAAGAATGTTTTGATTTTAAGCACATACTGATATACTAATTGTGTCAGCTTTGGTAGGGTTGGGACTTTCGGGTCCTGCAAACCCATACTCATGTACTTTATACAAACAGGAAATTAATGGTGAAAATCTTAATTGTCCCTTAATGAGAATGTATGCAGACAATGTTGTCAATGCTATGCTATGCTAAGGGCTATAAATTCAATTAATACTGTGTTGACATTATTGTCCCACTCGAGAGACTTGTAATGACAGATATGCTACAGAGGCCTGTCGTCGTACTTTTACGTATAGATTTATTTTTTAACGTTCCACGAACAGCATATTGTGGAATCTGCGTTTTATGTGGTACAATAAGTTAAGTAAAAATTAATTCCGTAACAAAGTTTCAAAAAGGAGCTAACAAGTTAAAATTTACAAGTCGGTTTTGCCGACAGATGTATACCCTCATCCAATTTTCGTTTATTTAAATATATTTTTGAAGATGTTAACCCTTTTCTATTAGAGGGGTTGGAGGTAGCAATACACATGAACCTACAGGAACTATATCCAAATCTGATCTGATTTCAACAAATTTGACAAATTAATTTTTTAGCGAAATTCCGAAACACATTCCAGATTTTATTGATATTTGAGATACATAGCGTGTTTGGTGCATCAAATACATGAATTCGGTCGAAAAAATATATGGAAGTTATATCCAAACTTTAAACGATTTAAATATTCTTTGACAAATAAATTTTTGTACCAAATTCCGTGACACATTCCAAATTTCATTGAAATTGAAGAAACATAATGCATCAAATGAATGAAATCTGCCGAAAAAAATATATGGGAGCTGAAGCCAAATCTGAACCGATTTCAATATATTTTTGTTCCAAATTCTGTTGCAAAAACCAGATTTTAAGACTGTACCTGGAATCGACTAATACTAAGTTCGGCCGGGCCGAACTTTTAATAAATTAAAAAAAAAAAAACCGAAGACTACCACTTACTTGAAAACCGTTAAATGGGGACTATACGAAGACGTGGACCTGCCTACCACTTTTTTTGCCATATACTGTACCATTACGAACTTCCATTACGAACTACCCATTACGAACTTCAAATACGAAATTTGAAACAGTTCCATTGAATAATGTCGCTAAAATCATTAAAATATCGAATATGGGGAAGTACCGTTACAATTCCGGTGATAATATCGCAAAAATCATAAGGGGGCCAAACGAAGGTGTGGACCTGAATACGACATTTTTATACCCTCCACCTTGGAAAGGAGGGTATATTAACTTTGTCATTCCGTTTGTAACATCCTTAAATATTCGTCTTAGTCCCCATAAAGTATATATATTCATAATCAGCATAAAATTCTAAGTCGATTTAACGATTTCCGTCTGTCTGTCTGTCCGTCTGTCTGTCTGTCCGTCTGTCTGTCTGTTGAAATCACGATTCAGCCCACATTATTTGACGTTTTGGTATTGAAAATGAGATATATCGGTCCACGTTCTGGTATAGTCCCCATATAACGGTACCTCCCGATATTCCGTATTTTGATGATTTATGCCACATTTTTTCACGGATTTGTCTGGAAATTGGTACTTGTAGGTCATAACGGGTCCCTGAGCGTGTGGCAAAACATTGCATGTATAGGTCCACGTTGTGGTATAGCCCCCATATAAAGGTACCTCCCGATATTCGGTATTTTAGTTTTTTTTGCCACATCTTTTCACGGATTTGTCTAAAAATTGGTATTTGTGGGTCATAATGGTTTCCAGCTCCGGTGGCGAAACATTGCATACATGGGTCCATGATTTGGTATAGCCCCCATATAACGGTACCTCCCGATATTCGGTAATTTGATGATTTTTGCAACCTTTTTTCACGGATTTGTCTGAAAATTGGTATTTGTTGGTCATAATGGGTTCCAGCTCCGGTGGCGAAACATTGCATGCATGGGTCCATGATTTGATATAGCCCCCATATAACGGTACATCCCGATATTCGGTATTTTTATGGTTTTTGCCACATTTTTTCACTGATTTGTCTAAAAATTGGTATTTGTGGGTCATAATGGGTCCTAGTTCGTGTAGCGAAACAGTGTAATTATAGGTCCACGTTTTGGTATAGCCCCCATATAACGGTACCTCCCGATATTCGGTAATTTAATGGTTTTTGCCACATTTCTTCTAATATTTCTTTTACCCTAAGGTGTAGGGTATTAAAAGTTTGGCCCGGCCGAACATAATGTTTTTTACTTGTTTGTCATAGGCTGTAGTACCCATTAAGATCTTCCAATACGAA